AATAGAAAACAAAAAAAAAATGTGTAAAAGTATAGAAGCGAAGAGGGGGCAACAATGTGAGAAATGTTTTTTTGAACGCAACGCAAAGCGCAAAAAGCTATAGAGTACATATGCTTTGGAAGGCGCTCATCGGTTTTCCATTCCACGCTTTCACCTAACCAACGGCACCCAACAAAACCAACAAACCAACGAACAAGCGAAAACGAAACAGCAACTTATCTGCAGGTCTTGGCTGTCTCTCCAGCTGCAACACTAAAATTTTCAGCGACGTGTTTTGCAACTGCGTTTTTGTTTTCAGCATAGATTTACTCTCGTTCGTGCTTGCTTAAATGCCGACTTGCTCGCCTGGTTGCTTGCTTGCTAGCTGGTTGACTGGCTTGTTGAATTGTTAACCTTGCAGATGATGATGCTGATGATAATTTTGGTGATGAGAAGTCGATGATGATAGTAATGATGATAAAAATGATAATTGGTTTATCGGTTGTCTTTTCACGTTACGTTTACTTCCTGAAAAATGCCGTTGGATACGTTAGGGTTTGATGCCTATTTACTTCTATGCATGTAATTTGTTTGATTATTTTTTAGGTAATGATGGGTCCTCTCGAGAAACACTTCTGTGCCACAGTCTAAACTTTATACATTAAAACTTTTTTACCCTCTGGCAAGATTTCGTGGTGCAATGTATTCATCCATCTATTTTTGTTGTTTCTGTTTATTCGTGCCGTAGCATTCTTCGTTTTGTTTACGTTAACAAAATTAACCGAAGTGAATTTCGATCAGAATAAAACTGAAGGGTAGAAAAATTCTTTTTTTTTTCTTTCGCTCAACTGCTATCAGTTTCTTGACAACTGCAGAAAACTATATTATGTCGGAGAGAAAAAAAGAAAAGAAAAAGCTATTTAGAAAAAATAGAACGTGAAAAGGAATACTGAAAGAACAGCGAAGGAACCATGCACGCAAAGACAGAGAGAAATACAGGCACAGACGCAAAAACATAGATGAAGGATACACACATACACTGCAATTGCTTTCTCTTAAAGCCTTCACATGAAGCTTACGTATAAGACCACATTATCCTTGTTTCTCCATTGCAAAACTCCTCCAGCAGCCCCACCCAAACGATATCCTGAGGAACCAAACCCATAAGTTCATCTTTCCTGCTTCTTCGCCCTGTATAGGTTCAGTGAAAAGTACTGTTCTGGCAGTGAACTGAAAACAAAGTGCGGCGTCGTCTTATGTCTACAAAAGTATGCAAAACTCACACTCTTTCTAGTTCTCTCATATTCCAGGAGACGTATACTCGGTTTTTTTGCATTGTGTTTTCACAGAAATATTTCCCAACTCCAGTTACTGAACTGAAAAACCCACAGATACAGCAACAAAACCAACAGTAACAGCCAACCATTTACTCATCCAATACTTATAGGATGCATGCATACATACAGAAGACAAGAAGAACAGCAAAAACAAATAGTACGAATTGTTTCGGGATATGTAAACATGGACGCATATAATAGCACAAGCAAAAAAAAATGAAGATAATGAATTAAACGACTGGGAACAGAATTATGACTATACAGCTTAGAACCATTAAACAGAAGAAAAGAGTGGGTTATTTCAGCTTTATTCTTTTTTTCTTTCTCCAGCAATAAATCTTCAGTAGCAGGTGATTTTCAGGCTTCTTTTAAGTGAGAAATTTGGAGTTGAGTGAAAATTTTGGAAGGAAGAAAAGGGGATTTTTCTTCCTGCTTTTGGTTTTTGCACGCGGAAAATTTGAAAAACAGTGGGTTTTTCCGTTCCTTACCTTACACTCCGCCTCACTCCTCACAGCAGTTTGTCGCCAGCGTCCTCGTCGTCATTGCTACTGTGGTCGTCGTCATGGTTTGTCCCCTCCTAGCCTTCTTCAACAACTCTCCTCATCCACGTCCTTTTTGCGTTAAAAATACACGTCGAAACAAAGATTAAAATATATACGTAAGTGCGTAAATGATAATAAGTCCGTTAGTCTAGTTTTCTATTTCTACAGTCTTCTTCTGTCTGC